TAATGATTACAAATTTAAAATGGCACATCATTTTAAATATATCATTGTCATATCTTATTCATCTTCGTGTTACCTTCTTTATCAAAGATATTATGTTGAAATACACTTATTAAATGCACTTTTTGGTTTTTATTTTTGATAAATTAAATTTATTGAACACATTTTTTAATTTTCTTGCACTTTCATAAAGTTTAATTACTGTATAATTTTCTATTTGATAAACTATTATATAAATACTCTACTCAATGGAAAGTAAACAATTCAACCATATATTATTCTTCTATTAATCTAACCCCAACTCACCATAATACTCTACTACGAATAGAAAAATAGATAGAAATCTAGGTGGTAACTTTGGAAAGAACAAAAATGGGAAAAAAAAATTAACTACCTTTTCATTGAAAAAAGTCATGTTCCTGCAACTACTGTTGAAGCTAATCAGCTTTGGTAGACGTTGTAACTTCAAGGATCGCAGGTTAATTAATTCCACAATATATCCTTCACTCTCTTCCTCTTTGTCATCAATAATCTCTTCCATGTCACTGCAGTGTTTCACTCTAATTTCTTGTAGTTGCTGAAGCTGTCTGGCTATAGAGGCGGAGAACAAATTCTTCAACTTGTTACAACATTCAATAGTTATCAACCTCAATTTTCTAAAAGAAGCTGCTTCTAGCGGACCATGACATATTTTCTCCATATTTTCCAAATTGCAAAGAACTAATACCTCCAATACAGGAAATGCAGGCTTCACTGAGATGATATGTTGAATCCCCAAAGCATCTTGGACAAAGAGATACTTCAATTCTTGGAAACCGTCGTTATCTAACTCATTGACTACATTTTTAACACCAATCAATCCTTCTAGATGTAGTTCATTTGTCTTCTTTAGCAACTTCCTAACTGAGTGGTGAGAACTAATTCTTGCGTCTGGCTTTAGCTTCAATAATTTTGAAACTCCCCGTGAACTACTCCAGTGGTTCCACCTGTCTCCCAAGAAAACTTTGAATCTTGCCAAATTTTCAGAGAACAAGCCTTCCGGAATCTTCTGAATATTGCAAATAACATGTAGCTCTATAGAAGTCAACAACGATAAAGGCTGCAACTCTGCTAGGCTAGCATTTTGATTTTCATGCTCCTCAATGCCCTCCGCCCATTGATCAAAGCTGTTTCTCATATATAGTTCTTCTAATCCTGACAAACTTGACAAGACACCTGGTGGAATTACTTTGAGTTCGGTACAATCACTCAAATCTAACAACTTCAGGTTGGTTAGTTGCCCTATTTGCCTTGGCAACTCTTTGATATCAGATCCTGCAAGGCTGAGGACTTTCAAATTCTCCAGCTCTCCCATCATTGTGCCTATATTTGTGGCTCCTAACTCAACTTGATCCAGACACAAAGTACAAAGGTTTTTTGGGCAGGAAATCAAGGAAGGGATTGACAAAAACTTCATTTTCGACAAACTCAAAACTTTGAGTCCTTCCTTATCCCTAAACAAGTTTGGTGGACTTGCTAGAGCAGGACCCTCTTTAGACAAATGAAAGAAAGTGAGTTTCGGACATTTCAACTCATCTGGAAGCAGACTGGTGTCCCCATTTGATAAATAAATCCATTTGATGCTCTCCATCGC